AGCATTATTCACATTTGCTAAGACATGGAATCAATCTAAATGTCCAAGAACAGACAAATGAATGGATTAAAAAAATGTGGCACATGTACACTGTGGACTATTACTCAGTCATAAAGAATGAGACCCTGGCATTTGATATATATATATATGGCAAATATGGAAGATACAATGCTAAGCAAAGGAAGCCTGACTATGAAAGATGGACATTTTATGTCCCCGCTTAATGTATACCAAATGTCTGAACTCTATAGCAGAAATAGAAAGACTGGATGGTGTAATAGCAAGGAGGCCAAGTGTAGATACTAGAGACAGTATAGAAAGAGGTGGCTAATAGGGGGTGAGAGGGAGGAGGTCAGGGGGAAAACAAACAAATATTTAATAGATAAAAAAATATAAAATTATCTGTCGATGATAATGTATATGGTAATGTCTTGAACTTGAAATAACATGCATTGTATTCATGCTGGGAAAAACCACGTTGAATACTGTAAAAATGCACAGTGATTAAGTGTAAAAAAAAAAACAAACAAGTTTTTCCTAAAAGAAAAAAAAAATTAATAATACAGTCTTTCTGGAGTCATAAAAGACCCCATATTACCAAGGCAGTACTGTGTCCAAAGAATAAAGTGGGTGGTACCTCACTACCTGAGCTGAAAACATATTATAAAATTGTGCTAATCAAAACAGCAAGGTACTGGCACAAAAAAAGACACAGACTGATGAAACAGAATAGAGAATCCAGAAATAAACACCATAATATACAGACAACTAATTTTTTTTTTTTTTGAGAGGTTTTCATTATAGGGTGTGTGCACTCGCCAGACAGAGAGACATAGAGACAGAAAGCGAGAAATCACCCCTCAGGGGGGATGGTCATGCCGCAATCCCTTCTCCTCCATTCTCCTCTTGGGATCCTGGGCATGCACGCACACACACCCGGCGTGAGTTTTAAGCCACCGGGTCCGGGATGTGAACCACGGTCAACTGTGTGGGAGTCCAGCGACATAGCCATTACGCTAACTGCTGGTTCCCCAGACAACTAATTTTTGACAAAGGATACAAGTTCCCTTTTAGGCTTTCTAGCCACTGGACTCATAAGTCAAAAAAACCTCTAGTCCTTTGTAAGTCACCCACCTCTGGTATTTTTGTTAGCAATACAATAGACCAAGGAAGGCCCTCTCCAACAGTTTCAACCAAAGCAGTCCTCAAACCAAGCACATTATAATCAAAATGTCAAAAAAGACGAAGAATATTGAAAGCAGCAAGAGGAAAGTATGAAGTCAGAAACAAGGGACTATCTTTTAAATGATCAGTGGGTATCGTAGTTAAAAACCTTGTAGGCCAGGAGAGAATATGATGTTATAGGCAGAGTGCTGATAGGAAAAGCTACCAGCCAAGAATACTATACCTAGCAAAGCTGTTTCTTTATAAAGGAAGGAAAATAAAGTCTTTCTCAGACAAGCAAAAGTTGAGGGAATTCATCACTACTAGACCTCCTTTTCAGGAAACACTTCAAGTGGAAATGAAAGGACAGTAATTACTCTCCTGAAAATATATAAAAAATGTAAAACATACTGATAGAGGTAAATTCACAATAAAATTCAGAATACTCTATCACTACAATGAAAATCTCTAATATGAAGGCTAAAAGTCAAGAGGGTCAAAAATAAGCACAGTGACAACAATTTGTTAAGAACACAGCGTAGGGCCAGCAGTCAGCACAGAGGTTAAGGCAGTTGGATCCCACTGAAACAGGCACAACTCCATCTTGGAGAAGTGACTCCATCTTGGAAGAGCGCCTCCAAGAGAGGTGGGGAATGAAGCAGGTGCAACTCCATCTTGGAGGAGCACCTCCATTATAAACTGTTAGATTCCTATGACTGGAAATTTGCCTTCTCCTTTGTGCCTAAGAACAAACAGAGTAAAGTAACACTCCTATTGTCTTTAAATCCCACTTTTCCTTAAGATAAGGTCCAGTTACTGGAACTTGCCCTGAGTCATGGAGATCATTAAGATTCCATTGTATTTAGGTAGGGATGGAACATACCCTTAAGAATGATTAACCTACTTTTCTTGCTTCTGTGATGTGCTTTTTGCTTTTACATTGTTAAAAACTACCCCCTACCCTTTTCCCCCATCCAAGCCCACTGCACCTTACCCTCCTGAATCATCAGTCATCCCAGACATGACTGTATATTTTTTTGCCTTTATAAGCACCCCTCACCTTGCACTTAGGGCTGCAGGGTTTTGAGAGACATGAGACCCCCGGTATGCTGCCAGCTTAATCAATAAACTCCAATAAATTTGGCTATGTCTGGATGTCCTCTTATTTCTCATTGAGTATTATAACACCACAAGGCTGACTACACAATTAGAGTCCCAGATCTTGTGGCTTTAAAAACATGCTGAGAGGAGAATGAAGAAGGGACTGTGATGTGGGCATTCCCTGATTTCTCTAGCAAGGTCATGCATCCTATAGCAAACTAATAAAAATAAATAAATAAATAAATAAAAGGAACACAGTATAAAAAAAGACACAAATTGTGACAACAAAATATGAATGTGGAGGAGTAAACGGAGAGTATTTGCATGCCACTGAAGCTGTTATCAAGTTAAAATAGTATATTATAAGATGTTTTACATAATCCCATGATAACTTCAAGGCAAAAACTATAGCAGATACACAAACAATAAAGAGAGGAATCAAAGCTCAGTATGACAGAAAATCAACAAATCACAAAGGTAGGCAACAGAGAAAGAAAGGAACAGGGATCTATGAAACAACCTGAAAATCACAAAATGGTGGGAGTTAAGTCCTTACCTATTAATCCTTACCATGGATGCAAATGGACTACTCTAATTAAAAGACAGAGTGTTAAATAGATTTAAAAAATCAGATCCAAATAGATGGTGTGTACAAGAGATTTATTTTAGCTTTAAGGACACACAGGCTAAAAATGAAGGGGTAGAAGAAAATATTCCATGCAAATAATAACCAAAAGAAAGCAGGAATAGCTATACTTTCATGAGATAAAATAGATTTCAAGTAAAAACTTGTCATAAGAGACAAAGAAGGTCATTATTTAATGGAAAAGGGGTTAGTTAGTTCATCGAGAGTACTTAACAATTATAAATACATATGTACCCAACATCAGGACAACTAAACAAATAAAGCTAATATTAACAGATATGAAGAAAGAAATAGATAGCAATACAGTAACAGGAGGGGACTTTAATGCCCCACTATCAATAATGGAGCGATCCATCAGAAAGAAAATTACTGAGGAAATAGTGGACTCGAACTGCACTTCAAATCAAAAGGACTTAACAGTAAATATAAAGAAACTTCTATGGAAGAACAGAATATATGTTTTTCTCCAGTGTACATGAAACATTCTCTAGGATAGACCATATGTTGGGCCAAAAAACAAGTCTTGACAAAAGAAAACTGAAATTACATTTAGTATTATTTTTGGCCATAATGGTAAGAAAGTAGAAATCAATAACAGAAGGAATCTTGGAAACAAACTCTACAGGTCAGTATCTCTGATGAACACTGATGTAAAATATCCTCAATAAAATACCAGCAAACTGAATTCAACAACACATCAAAAAGATCCTAACATATGCATTCCTGATATTCAAGACTTTTAACATATGCAAATTAGTCGATGTAATACATACCAATAATGTAACAGACTAAAAGATAAAAACCACAATACCATCTCAATTGATAGAGAAAAAGCATTTGAAAAAGTTCAGTATATTTCCTTGATGAAAACGCTTAAGTGTTTAGGTAGAGAAAGAAAGCTCCCCATCATAATAAAGTCCATTTATGAAAAGCCCACAGCTAATATCATAATTACAAGAACTAAAGGCTTTTCCACTGAGATCCAGTACAAAACAGAGAAGCCCATTTTTGCCACTGCTATTCAATACAGTACTATAAGTAATAATAAAAGTAATTAAAGAAGAAAAAGAAATAAAAGGGGGTCCAGTTGCACTGACATGAGCTAAGATGCTGTTGCTCTGTAGGCTGGGACCACATACTCCAGGTTCAATTTCTAGTCCAACCTAAAAGCTAGACAAAGTAGCGAGAAGCTGAGGCAGGAGAAATGTGAACTTGAGGCTAGCCTGGGTAACATAGTGAGACTCTGTTGGGGGGAGGGGGGAGTGTTGGGCCTGCATGTGTGATCCCAGCTACTCAGGAGGCTGAAGTAGGTGGATTGCAACAGAATGAAACCCTTTCTAAAACATTACACACACAATGCATAGAACAAAGAAATGAAAGGCAACAAAACCGAAGAAGTAGAATTATTTCTATTTTTAAATGACATGATTCTGTATGCAGAAAACTCTTAAGAATTCTCCACACACAAAAATTAGATCAATGAATTTTAAGTTGCAGGCTATAAAAATCAACATCCAAAAAAGTTGCGTTTCTATACACAAATAATGACATAGCTGAAAAAGAAGCCAAGAAAATGATTCCATTTACAAAAGCATTACGAAAAGGGAATGAATTTAACCAAGGAGGTGAAAGTTTATATACTAAAAACTATAAAATATTGATAAAAGGAACTGACGATGATGTAAAAAAAATAGATCCCATGTTTATGGATTAGAAGATAATGAAAATGTCTGTATTACCCAAAGTAATATACAGATTTAACACAATCTCTATAAAAATTTCAATATAATTCTTAACAGAAATAGAAAAAACTATCCTAAAATTTGTATGGAGCCACTTTGGGCATCATACTTCACAATTTAAAAATTACAGTACAAAGCTACAGTAATCAGAACAGTATGACGGTGGCATAAAAACAGAAATATACACCAATGGAACAGAATCATTTGCCTGTGTTCGTTTACAGAATATTCTATGAATATATAACTATTCAATAAAATTTAACACTATACTTAAAAATGAAAGCATATGGGTGACTTATCTTTAGAACAGAGGATGCTATTTTCACTAACACATATGACACCTGTACCTTATATAGAGAATCCTTATTTGCTTTTAGTCTGATACCATGGGCGAGTCTGAGTTGACCTGTTGTCCGCATTCCTGACCAGGTATCTTTCTCACCCAATGGCTTCAATAAAGATGTTACTGGATTATAGAAGGCTGGAATGGAGACAGGATACCAAGTTCGCATGAAGACGATATCTGGAAAGAGAAAATTTACTTTAACATTTTTGAAAGAAGATTCATATTCATCTGGCAAATAAAACAAACACAACCAAAAAAATCCTGAAACATTTACCCCACCAACTTCTTTACCTGGTTGCACAGTTATTTAAAGAAGGACTTCACCAAGTAAACTACTTTTATATATTAAAAACCTTTACTGGGTGTGAATCAGGGGCTGCATATTTGATGTGAATTGGTACAGTGAACAAGATGTTCCAACTGGAAAGATTTGAAGCTGACTCTGACTTTCTCAAGACCAGAACTTCAAACTCTATCAACACTTCTAGAAATCAATAATGAATCACCACACTATTGTGAATACACTATAAAAAATATTTACCACTCATCAGCAACTTATCCTCAAAGCTGGCGCGGAAAGCTCCTTCTGGAGCCCGGAGTGCCTTCTTGATTTGTCCCCTCAATCCACTAACAGTTCGAATCACAGCACCTTATATATATATATACACACACACACAGAATTATACACTTTATCTCTTAGTTTATAAATATATCCTTGGTTAGAAACCAAATACTTTGGGCTGGCAGGTGGCCTAACAGCAGGTGGTCTAACAGTTAAGGCACTGGATTTCCACATGCCCAACTGTGGTTTCAGTCATGAACCTGGTGGCTCGCTTTCTCACTTTCCCTTTCTCCCTCTCTCTGTCTCTTGCTGGTCAAATGAAAAGTACTAATAAATAAAATTAATTAAGTAATTCTTTAAAAAAACAAAAAACAAAAAACAAAATCTTACTTGCTAAAGGATAAAATTATTATTTTATTCCTTTAAAAGTGGTGGGACCAATTGGCATAATGGCTATGTTGCTGGACTCTCATGTAGTTGACCACGGTTCAAGTCCTGGACCCAGTGGCTTAAACTTGTGTCAGGGCTATGTGTGTGCGTTGTGTGTGTGTGTGTGTGCGTGCCCAAGATCCCAAGAGGAGAAGGGATTGTGGCGTGGCCATCCCTCCTGGGGTGGTGATTTCTTGCTTTCTATCTCTCTGTCTTTCTGGTGAGTACACACGCCCTATAACAACAACAAAAAAACTCTCTCTCAAAAAAAAAAAAAAAAAAAAGTGGTACTACTACATCAAAAATACAACTCAACAATCTACCAGGGTCTCAGGAGCATGCTGAGATCACGTATTTAGAAGACATGATCAAAGAAGTATTTACCGAACTGAACTGGCCCAGCAAAGGCACCTTGCTAGGTGCATGCACTTAACAAATAAAAAGAGCTAGGCAAAAGCAGTGGTATTATTAAGTTATATTACAAGAGCATCTTATGCTCTTAATATTGTATATTTTTTGTTTGGTTTATTTGGAGATTTTTGCGATAGGGTGCATGTGCTTGCTGGAGAGAAAGAGAGACAGAAAGCAAGCAATCATCCCTAGGTAGGGATGGCCTTGCTACAATCCCTTCTTCATACTCCTCTCAGGATTTGGGTACTCATGCATATGAGACTGGAGTGAGTCAGGGTTTGGGGTTATGGTTGGCCACGTGGGAGTCCAGTTCCTTAACCACGAAGCTACCTGCTGGCCCAACACTGTATAGAAATATCCCACTAGTGAAGCTTTCAGTAAATTCTGCTTAAACTACTGTCTCACAATATGGTCATATATTGCTTAATGATGAGGATATGTTCCGAGAAATGCACTGTTAGGCAATTTCATCATTGTATAAACATTGTAGAGCATATTTACACAAACCTGGACAGTGCAGCATATAATCTAGATTATATGACAAAGCATATTACTCCTACATATGTAAGGTCCATAATTGACAGAAATATTATGCTGCATATGACTGCATTGCAAAACAGGTCCACTTCTCTATATCCTAGCCACAATTTCTAGAAATTGATTTGTCTATTTTTAATTGAACTGTTTGACAAACATGATCTTTTCCCTCTTTCCTGCCTTTTCTTTCCTTTTTGTCTTTTCTTTTTTAATATGTCAGAGGGCATGTGTGCTTGCTAGAGAGAGACAAAGAGGGAAAGTGAGAAAGCACTCCCCATTGGGAATGGTCACACTGCAATCCTTTCTCCTCCATTTCTGCCATCTTTTGAGATTCTGGTCATACATGCACACACACCCAGCACTCAAGCCACTGGGTCTGGCACTCAAACTGTGTGACACGTGGGATTTAGCTAACTTAATCAGCATGCTATACTTATACTTGACCTTTTCCCTTTAATGAAAACTAAAAAGGTAGGAAACAAAGCCAAGTGGGTAAAATTATATATATGTAGAGCCAGTGGTGGCACGGTGGTTTTAAGATGGTTGGATCACACATGGCTGACTGTGTGGTATGAGTCCCCAACCCGGCAGTTTGAAAAATAAGCTGGTCCATGTGTGCATGCCCAAAATCCTAAGACAAGAATGGAAGAGAACGGACTATAATGTGACCATTCTCCCTTGCTTTCTCACTTCCCTATCCCCTCTCCATCTCTGTCTTTCTGCTTAGTACACATACCCCATAGCAAAAAGAAAAAAACAATTACATAAACAATTACATCGCTAGAGGACATGCACTCAGAAAGAAAAAGTACCTCACAATGGGGCCTAGTCACACTGCAATTCTTTTTCTTCCATTTCACCATCTCATCAGGATTTTGAAAACACATGCACATGTACCTGGCATGTTTTTCAAGTCACTGGGGCCAGAATTCAAAATGCAGTCAGTTGTGGGATCTGGTTCCCTATGCATAGTATTTTACCACTGTGCTACAGAACTGGACCCAAATCAGATTATTTCTATTATTAGTTCTGGGACAGTCCCATAAGGAAATCATAACAGCCTTAATTTAGATTTTTAAGTATATTTAAGTAACAGAGGCCAATATAAGTAAACTAAGAAAAAACATCTAAGATCACATTTTTTTTTTTTTTTTGGAGAGGCTTTTGCTATAGGGTGCGTGCGCTCGCCAGACAGACAGAGAGAGACAGAGAGACAGAAAGCAAGAAATCACCCCCCAGGAGGGATGGCCACGCCGCAATCCCTTCTCCATTCTCCTCTCGGGATCTTAGGCACGCACGCACACACACACGCTTGGCGTGAGTTTTAAGCCACTGGGTCTGGGACGTGAACTGTGGTCAACTATGTGGCAGTCCAGCGACATAGTCACTACGCTAATTGCTGGTCCCAGATCACATTTTTTTGTTTTGAGAGTTTTTTGCTATGGGGGCAAGTGCTCGCCAGAAAGACAGAGAGAAAGAAAGCAAGAAATCACCCCCGTAGGGGGGATGGCCACGCCGCAATCCTTTCTCCTCTATTCTCCTCTTGGGATCTTGGGCACGCATGCACATGAGCCTGGCATGAGTTTTAAGCCACCGGGTCCGGGACACGAACCGCGGTCGGCTACATGGGAGTCCAGTGACATAGCCATTACACTAACTGCTGGTCCCAAAGATCACATTTAATGTGTATAAAATCACAATCAAGATATGAATATGTTCATCTATCTATAGCACAGTAGAGTGACTATAGCTAACAATAACTTATTGTGTATTTCAAGATAGTCAGAAAGAAGTATTTAAAATGCTCCTGACACAAAGTAACAACAAATGTGTGGGGTGAGGGATATGTAAATTATCCTAATTTGATAATAATCCAATGTGTTCATGAACCAAAAAACCACACTGTACACCATAAATATGTACCATATGACACAAAATTTTTGTGTCAATGAAAGATATTATTTTTAAAATTAAAAGATTAAGTTTATAAAATATTTCAAGTATTTTTCTAAAAACATTAGGCCCATATTTTAGAAGATTTCATCCCTCTTTTAACAGTATATACACTTACAAATAATGTGAAAATATATATATACAAACCTTAATAAATGAAGTATTCTTGAAAATTTTAAATGGAAAACCAGTTAGCTTTAATTTCTTCACAATTTTTATGGATTTATCCAGATCAAGGACAACTCCTGTGGCAGCTATCCGGAAATCAGGCTAAAAGGAATTCCCAAGGTTTAAATATAGGAATAATGTCAGCAAAAGAAAATCTACAATTCTCTGTGCTACAATAAATTAAGAAAGGATATTTCACTTACATTCAGCTAAGAAAAAAACAAGAGAGAACCCTGAATATGTAAAACAGTATTTTAAGAAAAGTAATCTAATACTATAATACTGTTAAGCCAAACTAACGATGACTTGAGTGCTCTCCTGACAATGACTACAGGGTAACATAATTTTACAAAATGATCTCATCTGTCTTTTTTTGGAGAAGTTTTTGCTATAGGGTGCGTGTGCTTGCCAGATATATATAGAGAGACAGAAAGTGAGAAATCACCCCCCAAGGGGGATGGCCACGCCGCAATCCCTTCTCCTCCATTATCCTCTTGGGATTTTGGGCACGCATGCACATGCACCTGGTGGGAGTTTTAAGCCACCGGGTCCAGGACTTGAACCGCAGTCGATTACATGGGAGTCCAGCAACATAGCCATAGCGCTAACTGCTGGTCCCACAAAATGATCTATTTGTAATAAAAACAAGAATGAAAATGCAGCTGCAACATTTTAAGAAATTAAAGTTTGAACCTTCAGAGCAGATTCCACCTGCTCATTATTCTGTCCCCACCCTCCCCATAAAACAGGGTTAATAAAATTTGCTCTGACTGGTCAAATGAAGACTGTGTGGACATTAAGCAGCATTACTGGGGGTGGGGTGGCAGTCTCATGTCCAGCTGATACACACCTACTTTCTGAACCCAGTACAGTGCTGAGCACATGGTAAGCACTGCTTCAATACTTTTTTAGATAAATGAATCCAAAAAATAAATAAGAATATATGTCATCAGTGACACTGTAATTCTTCTGCCTTTTGTCTACTCTCACACTCTAACAAAAAGAGTAAAAACGAAAACAAATTTACTATATATGGCACACTAAAAATAAGTAATTTCCTGCTTATAGTTTTATACTTTTTTTTGTAAAATAATACATCCAAGATATTTACCACTGTGCCACTGACAGATTGTACTGCCAAGAATCCAGTTCCCTGTGGAGTGATAGGACCTGAAAGAAAACAGGAAAAAAAGAAATACAGTGAACCACAAATTTTGGATTGTTTTCTATATATACTCCACTGCCTCTCCTCATGAATAAAAATGTTAGGAATTGGGATTTCTTGAAAAGAGCAAAGCTAAAACGATAGTCTAAAGGTTTAAATTAACCCACAGGCAAGTCATTCTAATCACACTTTACCCCAAAAGGTTGCTCCACAATGCATGTGTTGTGGGGTGTATTTTAGAAGCCTCTGTCTTCCATTGTGGTCTTCAATATAATAGAGTGGGATGGTCTGAAACCTCCTCCACCCTACAGAAAAGATTATTGGATCTCGGGACTTGAGGATTTTCTTATACCAACGATGTTTCTTCAGGCGCATCTGAGGGAGAAGAGGGTGCGATAAATGACCAGTGGAAAGGCCATCCAAAGAACTCCAGTGGTTGAGCATGTGGCAAAGGGCACCTACCTGCACATAGCCGACATTGCCCTCACTATTGCCTAAACCACCGAGAATAACTGGGTAGTGAGGGTCAAAATTCTGCACGAATTCACAGGGGACGTTTTCAATTTCAATTCGGACATACATCCCAGGTCGAAAACCCTCATACTGAACTCTGGCTTCATCATCTTGATCTTCAAATTCTGCCCGGTTAAGCTATATGTGAGAGGACAATAAAATCCTGTAATGTTATTATCTTTAAAAAACATAAGGTTAACATTAAAGATGAGGAATTTCTAAATAAAAGAACCATAGACAGAATTATTTAGGCTTTATCCTAATTACTGGTCGCCAGAAAAGTCACGATGTGCTTTTGCATAGAAAAACATGTCATGACTGTTTCAACAACCCAATAAATACAGACATAGGACTAGCTGGGGGAGTATGAACTGGAAGATACTGTCGTCCGGAGGTTGAGGCTACATGAGGGGCCTCGATTGGATTCTGAATCCAGCCTATCCTAAAAAATTAACGACAAAAAAAGTTCAGCTGGAGTCTAAGGCTAAAGGATCATGATAGCAGGGCAAGAACCTGCCTTAAAAACCAAACCAAACCAAACACGCATATTTTCCCTCTATAGTTTATTAAGATTATGTGCCAACTGTTTTTTTCTCTGTTGCTCCAAGGTACAAGCGTAAACAATTTTGAAAGGAGCACTGAAAGTTGGCTGGCTAACACTTGGGACATCATAATTCACACCTTTTTGTACTCTCCAAATAGTTATCAATATTTCATACTTTTTTTCTCCTATTTTCAAACACTCAACACCTCTTTCCTCATCCTCACTCTCGGCTGAAAACTGTTGCCTCATTCACTTGAAAACCAAGCAATCTAAATAAAATAAACTTCCTCAGTCAACCCCAACTGGGTTTAAACCCACGTCCAGCCTTGTGTTACAGTCCTGCACTGTCCAATAGAGTAGCAACACAAAGCTATTCGAAGTTGATCACAGTTAAGTGACATTCCAACTTCTGTTCCAGGCACACTAGCCAACACTGGCTCATGGCCATAATATAGGCGTGCATTTTCCTCTTTACAGAAAGTTCTACTGGGAAACTCTGATCACAGGTTCATTAGCTATGCCTCTATTTAAGGCCCAATTTCACCTGCTTACTAGATACCAGCCACTCTAGTTGGACTTTTAACATGTCTTCCCTATTATTTCTCTTGTCTTAAAACTTTTGGACTCCACAGAGTACTGCTCCACTTGTCTGCAGCAAAACTCCAGTTCTCCATAGTTGCAGTCTCTAGTTCCTTTGCCCCCATTCACCTAAACCCACTAATAGGTTGGACTTTTACCTATCATCCCATGAAAATGTTTGCCAAAGTCACTGGAGACTTTCACATTCTTAAATTAGTGGTCAATTCTGTTTTCATTATAGTTGATATCAGCAGCAGGATTTGGAACAACATTCTTCTCACTTTCCACAGCTGGCTTCCAGTATACCTCCCATTCTGAGATCTTTCCCCTCTCCTGGCATCACTCAGTACCCCTGCTGCCTCCTATTCTGCCTAGCCAGTCCTCCCCCTCCTTGCTCCATCTCAGCTTTCACTCCCCAGGCTATCTGCTGACTTTTGGTAGCATCTACAGCCTGAGGACTGTACATCTAAAGTCTCTAGCCAGACTTCTCTCCAGACTTGACACTGTGCTTGTCCAAACAGTATCTCAAACCTCACTAACTCAAATGTCATCTTCCTGGACTAAAAGGCACCAACTAGAAGCTTTCCTATTCGTATTTTTCTAGGGTTTTCTCTGCAAAAATGCATTATGACATTCCCGACAAACAAATATGACAACCTACCCTGCTAGTAACTTTCCGTTAGCATCCTCATCTGCTCACATACCCCACACATTCAGTCTACCAGGAAATCCAACTGATCTATCTTTCAAATAAAGTATATCCAGGTTTGCCTCTTTCTCTTACCTCTACTGCTATCTACCTTCTTTGTGCCAACTTAGCTTTGACTAAATTCTTGCCAGAACAATCTTTCAAAGAAAAGTAGACAGCTCAAGTCTCTCCTCTACTCAAATCTCTCCAAGGCCCTCAGAGAGTGAAAAGCTCAGTCCTTTACAATGGCCCACAAAGTCTATGTAATTTTAAGTTGTAAGTAACACATCAGGACTAGTTTTACATTTCTTGGTCAACCTCCATCAAAGTTCACTACAGTTAATGACTAACCAGGAGATACTTCTTTGATTAGATAGCAAACCTTGCAAACTACATTTTGGCAAATCATATACTAAACTTGTATGTCCCAGCTTACAGGAACTCTTGGTGGTCCTGCTAACAAAGTGCTGCCCAGACATTCGCCATCACCTGTGTATGTATCTTTGTATCTCTTCAGAGTGAGATCATCACCTCACACAAATCAGCATCCCTAGGCATGAGGACCATGCTATCTCCCTTTGGGCATACCCCATGCTCCCATCTCCACATCTGACTTACATGGAATACCCTTCTGAACTTTAAAATGAATTTTGAGAAAACCTCCCCTGGAGAGTAGTAGGTGTGGTTAAGCCCAATGGGTCAAAAATTACCAGCCCAGGGACCAGCAGTTAGCGTAATGGCTATGTCGCTGGACTCCCATGTAGTCGACTGCGGTTCGCGTCCCAGACCCAGTGACTTAAACTCACGCCGGACGCATGCGCGTGCGTGCCCAAGATCCCGAGAGGAGAATGGAGGAGAAGGGATTGCGGCGTGGCCATCCTCCCTGGGGGGTGATTTCTCGCTTTCTATCTCTCTGTCTCGCTCTGTCTGGCGAGCGCACGCGCCCTATAGCAAAAACCTCTCCAAAACAAAGAAAAAAAATTACCAGCCCATTCAAATCAGGAGGCAGCAAGTGGAATATGATGTCAATGTTTACATTTTAATGAACATACTATCTCAACTTCCTATACCATGAGATGTTCAAAAGTTGCAACCATGTCTCAGGAATTACTGCTCCCTCAGCATCTAATGCTTGGTACAAAACAGGTACTGCTATTTTTCTGGTGAACTTCTAACTGAAGAAGCAATGAGATGAACACATGAATAAATATCGTCACATGCATCTCCACTCAGAACTCTAAATGAAAGGCAAAGAACACAGCTCAGGGAGCGGAGACCAATAAAGCAACAGTAACCTATTTATCTTACCTGTGCTTGTTTATGCATTTCTCCTTTAAGATCATCAAAATATGTGCTTTCTCCTTCATCATATTCTGCATCAAACATCTCCTTCAATTTTCTCTTCTTTTCCAAATGCTTTTTTTTAGCACTTTCTTCTGTACTGGGGTCAATTTCTTCCTTAACTTCTTCCTCTACATTTTCTACCTTGAATTTTCAGAAAAGAAAACTACAAGTTTATGGAGTTCTTTTCTTTCAATTTCAAAAAAGTATATTTAAGCCACAAAAATCTTAGTTATGGTCACCATAAAAAACAAAACAAAACAAATCACAATCTTTGGTTATAAGTAGCAGAGCAATGGTATTATTACAAGAGACAGAGAGATGTCTGCATTATGATGAATCGTCATTCCTAATTCTGGTTGGAAATGCCAAACATGAATAAAAGTTAAAGAAAAACAAGGGGTCTCCAACCCAGATGCTCCCGGAATTTTAAAGAAATAACAGAGAGAACAAAGAATTCATTTTATGAAATGACACATTTAAGGAGAGAATGATGGCAAAAGGAATGGTGAAGAGAAGACCCAGGGGCTGAAACTCCCATGAATGAAAAGTTTTAAAGAATTTGGTAAATGATTATGGTAAGAAGGGGTGGTAGGTATCATCCAAAAAAACAAAAACCTTTTCCATTTCCCACTATCTCCCCACTTTCAAGGAGGAAGAAATCCAGCCATTCGATCTGTAATCTACACAGGTAAGAAGTTACATTTGTATTTCTCACTCTGGGCCTCTCTCAGAACTGACCAAAGATGGGACTGACAGCCAGACATGGCAAAGTCATACCTGAGTATCCAGGTCTGATTTTCCCTTGTGCACGTCCCCTGTTTCCAGGTCTTCAAAGTCACCGTAAAGTTCCTCTGGGAAAAGAACATCCAAATAGCTCCTCTGTGAAAGGCTGCTGTGATACCACCTGGCCCCATGCAGACTGTGCACTCTGCCTCCCAAACTGTTCTCACAGTTCCCGTTCCTACACATGCCATAAGAATCCTGCACTCATATATTCTTTATTTTCAAATGTCAGTAACTCATCACTTGTTTGGGTTAAAGTAAATGGACCCAACCTACATTTCCAAACCTACTTTGAAATTCCACATAAGACAAAAACTCTTTTTCTAGGTCATGTGAGAGACACATACAGAGATGGCAAACAGGGTCCTGCAAGTGAGTCCCCAAAACCAACAGTTCAATAGTGAACAGAAAAGCCATGGTTTACTAATAGTACATGTGGAAAAGAGTCTCAAAAGTACATAACACATCTGTATAACACACCCAAGGAAAATCTAACATTGCACTGGTATACAATTTAGAGTAAGAGTAGAAGCTTGGGCCAGTCAGTGGCGTGGGGATCAGGGCAGCTAGATTCCACATGGCTGGCTGTAGTTTGAATCCTGGATCTGGTGGCTTGAGAAACAAACTGGACAAGTATGTGTATGTGCCCAAAATTCTGAAAGGAAGAAGTGGAGAAGAGATTGTGGTGTGACCATCCCCCATGGAAGGTGCTTTCCTATTTCCTCTTTCTCTCACTGTTTCTCTCCAACAAGCACATGCACTGTCTAGCATACAAGCAAGGAAGCAAGCAAGTAAATAAATAAAGTAGTGTCATAAATTAAGTAAGTAAGTAAGTGTCCCAAACAGTGCTGAGCCCACAGGTAGAGCTCATTCATTCCTTCATTAGTTTTTGGAGGTCTGGGTTCAGTTACAGATCCAAAGGACTCACAGGTCTTCAAAGAAATAGAAGAGTTAAAATGCCTTTGCGAAGGTAACATTTAGAAAGGGATTAAAAACATTTTCACATAAGAAAGAGGCAAAAAAACCCAGACAGAATATATAACAGATGGCAAACATTTACTGTAATGAACACACACAAAAAACTAGGGACCAGCAGTTAGCGTAATGGCTATTTCGCTGAACTCCCATGTAGTCGACCATGGTTCAAATCCTGGACCTGGTGACTTAAACTCACACCCGGCATGTCTGCATGCATGCCCAAGATCCCGAGAGGAGAATGGAGGAGAAGGGATTGCGGCATGGCCATCTCTCCTAGGAGGTGATTTCTCACTTTCCCTCTCAAGGTCTCTCTGTCTTTCTAAATGAATACACACGTCCTATGGCAAAAACCTTAAACAAACAAGCAAAACTAAAGCCCAACTGCTGTAGCACAGGGAGTAGGGCTCTGATCCACAAGGCTGACTCTAGAGTCTCACAGGAAACCACTGCAAATCAGTTTGGCTTCCAGGTTAAACTGAAAGCTAAAACGTGCTGGGTATACATGCACTCATAATTCTGACTGGCTGGAAGGATAATGAAGAGATGGGATTGAGAGAAAAAAAAATCATAAACAAACATAAGAAGCAGGAAGTCAACAATGTTAAGAATACAACAGGGGTCTTGCCTCTGTGGCATAGTGGTAGCTACTGTATGACAGGGGAGTAAGCTACATGCCAACCACAGTTCAAGTCCCTAGCCCAGTCAGCTTGAAACGTGCTGGGTACATGCAAGTATGCCCAGGATCCTGATAAGCTGGAAAAGAGGAGGAAGGAAATCAAGGTATGATCAGAGCCAAAGGATGCTTTTCTCTTTGTGTGTACATGTTCTATCATGAACAATGGCAAAAAAGGATGAAACATTAGACTGCCAGGAAAGTCAAGATGTATTTTCCTATGCAAAAATGAGTCATGACCTTTTGATGACCCAATAGGATTATCAAAAAGGATACCACAGCTACTAAGAATATTATTAAGCAAATAGTGCAAACATCACCATTAGACTACCCAAACTGACCTCTCTAAGAAAGCACTCTGAAACTTTCACATTCCCAGTAGGTCTTGAAATTCCTTGACAATCATAAGCTACTAAAATTGAGGCAAGATTAAATAAATAACCTGAATCATCCTGTAATAATTATAAAATTTGTAACTGAAAGCTCCTGTAAAAGAAATCTACTGGTTCAAATTGTTTCACTGGAGAATAACAAATACTTAAAGAATTCATCCTGATTCTACACACTCTTCTAGAAAATAGAGTAACAGGGAACACCTTCTAACTCATTTTATGAGACCAGTATTACCCTGATACCAAAATCAGATGAAGATAATACTACCCCCCCACCTTTAATTACAAAAACAAAAACCCTACTACAGACCAAAATCTCTCATGCAAAAAATCCTCAATGAAAAACTAACAGTCTTGGGCCCACAAGTGGTGCTGGATGCCATATGGCTGATTGCATGGTTTGAATCCCAGGCCAGTGGCTTCATAATCATGCCAGGCATGTGTGTGTACATGCCTGAAATCTCAAGTGGAGACTGGAAGAGAAGAGACTACTGTGTGGTCACTTCCTCTAGCGGGGGATTTCTCACTTTCCCTCTCTCTGTTTCTCTCCAGTTAGAGCACATGCCCTATGGCAAAAACCTAAACAAACAAAAATGCTTTGTGGTTTAGTTTTAGGGGTTAGGGTTTACATGAAGGCAGGGTTGTCCATGGTTTGAACTTCCTGCAGGTGCCTGAAGAGGACCTGCACTCTTTTTTTTTTTTTTTTTTTTTTTGAGAGATTTTCACTGTAGGGCGTGTGCGCTCGCCAGACAGACAGAGAGAGACATAGAGACAGAAAGCGAGAAATCACCCCCCAGGG